GGGCTACAACCTGGTATCAATGAGATGACAAAAGAAGAAGAAGAATCAGCCCTGTTTCCATGTGTGTCACTTTTGTGTGGACTTTTCTGTCTAGGATGTGGAGGTACACTAAATGCAGACACTGATGGGGAGATCTTCTCTCCTGGGTACCCTGGCCAGTATAAGTGGAACACCCAGTGTGTTTGGATCATCAGATCTTCCTACAACAGTAAGTCAGTACTTTGACCTTGATGTTACTGACTCAGGATTTGTTTTACTAAAATGTTGAGAGGCAGCATTTGTTGTGGGGAGTGGACTTCCTTCAGGTTAGCTGGTGTTTGGTGAGTGGTTGTTGGGTGGGTATTGTGAGTACTGAGTGGTTGGATGGATGTTTGAGTGGTGAGTAGGTGGTTATTGTGAGTTGCAGGTGGCTGAGATGTGGATGAGTGTTATCAGTGGATGGGTGTTATCAGTGGATGGGTGTTATCAGTGGATGGGTGTTATTAGTGGATGGATGTTATCAGTGGATGGATGTTATTAGTGGATGGATGTTATCAGTGGATGGGTGTTATTAGTGGATGGGTGTTATCAGTGGATGGGTGTTATTAGTGGATGGGTGTTATCAGTGGATGGGTGTTATTAGTGGATGGGTGTTATCAGTGGATGGGTGTTATTAGTGGATGGGTGTTATTAGTGGATGGGTGTTATTAGTGGATGGGTGTTATCAGTGGATGGCTGTTATTAGTGGATGGGTGTTATTAGTGGATGGGTGTTATTAGTGGATGGGTGTTATCAGTGGATGGCTGTTATTAGTGGATGGGTGTTATCAATGGATGGGTGTTATTAGTGGATGGGTGTTATTAGTGGATGGCTGTTATCAGTGGATGGGTGTTTGAGTGTTGAGTTTTATGAGTAGGTGGGTGTTTATGATTGGTGCACTAGTGGGGGAGGCAGGATGTATGAGAGGTGTGTGGATGGTTGGCTGCTTCATAGGTTGATCATTGGTGGATGGATAGATGAGTTTTGGGTTGGTGGCTCAATGATGGATACTGCTATATTACAAAATGAAAAAAATTTAAAGGCGCCTTAAAAAGAAAAGAGAGATAATATTTAAATTACGGACACAAACAGTACATTGCACAATTTATTGCCAGGTATATTTTGCTGTATCTTGTCAGGTGGGTTACTACAGAGTTACATCTACATAAAATGAAGCACAAAAACTGAATAAATCAACAACCCCCTCCTTTGTAAGCAGACGGATTTTATTGTAAATTTGAAGCTACCCTGGTAAGACACGTGACTCTGGTGAGCTTCCGGTGGCCAAATAACACACACAATGTGTCAGAAAAAACTATTCGCATTTCAGTTGGATTTATTCAGTTTTGTGCTTTATTTTATGTTGATGTAACTCTATAGTAAAGCACATAATGAGATACAGTGAAATATGCCTGGCAAAAAATTGTGCAATGTATTGTTTGTGTCCGCATTATTTAAATTCAGTTAGAAAAATATAAAATTAAAAAGGGCGTGCCAGATATTGATCTATGCACTTCTGAGACTGCCAGAATAATGAATGAAGAGACCACTGATAAAAGCTGGTTGAAATGTTCAGTTGCATTTGTGTCTGTCTTTTCATTTTTTATCATTTGAGGTTTCCAAACATAATTTGCATTTAGCATTTCTTGATATCAGCTCCACCATATGCACTTCTGTTTATGTCATTACTTAGAAAAAACATGATGATGATGACAATGGTGACAGTTGAGTCATGTGATCAGATGTTTTCAACATGCCTTCAAGCTGACCAACCTGATTTTAAAAGTCGGGAGATGTGAACCAGAGTCATTGCACACGGTTATAAACTGTAAGTGCTCTGCAACCAGTACGAACAGATGATAAGAAACTGTTCCCTGTGATGCTGTCCGCATGCAATTCCATAGCTACAGTGATGTTCCTCCATTTACCCCAGAGTGTTAACCCATTACCTAGAGGCTGAGTGAATCCAGGGAACCGCCCGGTTTTGAACACTGTCCATGTGCTGCAGCAAGTCGTAGCTGGATTTGAAAGTGAGTCTCCTACAGGAACAGTTAGCATCTAAACCTCAAGACATTCACTGTGGGAGACGGATCATCTATCAGTATGCCTGGTGTGGTATGATATTTATTCCTAAATCAGCAAATCAACACACACACACACACTCATGCACGTACGCACGCACGCACACACAGACGCACACAGACACACACAGACACACACACACATAGACACATACACATACACACACATGTGCGCACACCACACACATCACACACACATGCACATGCATACACGCACGCACGCGCACACCCACACTCTCACTCTCTCTCACACTCACTCACTCACTCTCTGTAGCAACACCCCAGGCTGGTGACTGGCCAAATCCTGCACATGTTGATCCAATTCTCACTGATATTATTTCCTTTTCAGATCGGCGTGTCTCCTTGACGATTACCCACATGGATATATTCGGAGGAGAAGGCTGCAGTCAAGAGTATGTGGCTGTTATTCCTACTTTAGACTTGATGCTGAACAACTCAGGAGTCCTTGACAACCACTACTGTGGCAGTTCTGTACCAGCTACATTCACGTCAGAAGGCTCAGCCATGGTTGTTGTTTTTCAGAGTGGTGCCTACACATATGGGACCGGTTTCAGAGCAGTTTACTCTTCAGCATCTGCCGGTAGGTTAAGGTTCTTTTGCTGGTTAGTTTAGTCTTTTTTTCTTTTCTCTCACCTCTTTCTCCTCTCCCTTCTCCTCCTTCATCATCACTGTGGCGTGGGAATTTGCTTTGCGAATGCACTATGTGCAGTCTACAGAAGGAATTACAAACAGTGAAACATCCTTAAAGATTGGCTTGGTAATTCACTTTGTTCTAGGGAATGCACTATGTGCAGTCTACAGAGGGAATCGCAAACAGTGAAACGTCCTTAAAGATTGGCGTGGTAATTCACTTTGTTCTAGGGAATGCACTATGTGCAATCTACAGACAGAACTGCACACAGTGAAACATACTAAAAGTTCTGATCCATCTCCCAGCCTTGCTGGTTAAAGGAGAGGATTCAGGGTTTGCCCATATCTGATTCCCCATGCTGGTTAAAGGAGAGGATTCGGGGTTTGCCCACATCTGATTCCCCATGCTGGTTAAAGGAGAGGATTCGGGGTTTGCCCACATCTGATTCCCCATGCTGGTTAAAGGAGAGGATTCGGGGTTTGCCCACATCTGATTCCCCATGCTGGTTAAAGGAGAGGATTCGGGGTTTGCCCACATCTGATTCCCCATGCTGGTTAAAGGAGAGGATTCGGGGTTTGCCCACATCTGATTCCCCATGCTGGTTAAAGGAGAGGATTCGGGGTTTGCCCACATCTGATTCCCCATGCTGGTTAAAGGAGAGGATTCGGGGTTTGCCCACATCTGATTCCCCATGCTGGTTAAAGGAGAGGATTCGGGGTTTGCCCACATCTGATTCCCCATGCTGGTTAAAGGAGAGGATTCGGGGTTTGCCCACATCTGATTCCCCATGCTGGTTAAAGGAGAGGATTCGGGGTTTGCCCACATCTGATTCGCCACTGTTTAAATTGTACATTTAAATGCACTAAAATAGACTAGCTATTGTTCACTGACATATTAATGACTACAGTTAAAATGAACTCTATAAAACTGGAAGGACAATTAAAACAATCATGTATTTAAATCATGGGAATGGATGGGGAAAAAAAAACTAGTTCTTGGTTGACATAGAGGACAGATATGTCTACTTATCTGTTGTTCCTGCTCCTTGGGTCAGCTTCTGGCTCAATCTTGGAGACACTTCAGGATGGTCAAATCTTCTAGTTCAGTCTAGACAACTGGGCACCTGCAGCTATGCTAGAACTTCCACCTGGAATTTACACCTGGAACTAGAATAATTGAACTGTCCCTGTAACAAGCAGTTGGGAAAGTTCTCACTGAAGGCCACTCTGCCTTCAGTCCTCATATTTTGTTACACCACACCACACCACACCACACCACACCACACCACACACACACCACACCACACCACACCACACCACACCACACCACACGACACCACACCACACCACACCACACACACACCACACCACACCACACCACACAACACCACACCACACACACACATGCACGCACGCACGCACTCACGCGCGCGCACGCACGCACGCACACACACACACACACACACACACCCCCCCCCCCCAAATTAGAATAATTGCAATTGTTCACTCACCATTTTTTACGCAAAATCACCACCTGCGAGATGAGATGCCCGAGAAAAGCAGCCAACTCAACCATCCGAGATCGAGTGAATAATGAAACTATCAGGCAAATTGTGGGAACGATACCTTGTACTAGATTCTTCAAGAAAAAGCAGATCAAGTGGTTTGGCCATCTCGTTAGAATGCAGAAATATCAAATACCATCACAGGCATTACATCTCAGAAGATCAACTACAAGAGCAAGAGGACAGCTGCAGAAAATATGGATCGACAACATTAAAGACACTCTACGCCTCAACAGCATGACAATAGCCAGTGGCAGCCAGCATGCACAGGATCACAAATTATTCCTTCTCACGACGCTTAATGGCAGAAGTGGTTTGTGAAGATGATGATGACTAACCCCTGGTAGGGAATTCAAACACAGACATCAGCACGGACTACCAACTGTAGTAAACTCAGTTAGTTGAGCAGAGAAGACACTTGTCTCCTTTCTCAACCATGTCTGATTTTAAAAAGGAAGTAAAGTGCTAACAGAAAGTTATTGAAAGGGTAAGCTAACTCTGGGTGGATTCTCCCACTTTTCATTCACCTTTGTTTACTTTATTCTTAAATATAAAATTTATAATATTGCTATTAAGAAGCAATAATAAATTGGTAAGAAACTTAATAATATTGCTAACATAAAGAAATAATAAATATAATAAATTTGATAATATTGCTAATACAAAGCAATAATTAAAAGGTAAGAAACAGTTGTCCAGACCAGCTCATCACAATCATCTTTTTCTTCCAGTATGTATTATTATTATCATTCCCTCCTCTTCCTTCTTATCCATTTATTTTAACATGTTTCACTCCTACTGGTCACATGTTTTCTGTATATTAACTGCTACTTGCTGAGAAACCTGTTCACTTTTTTTCACAGCATGTGGTGGGGATTTCACAGCACAATCTGGCAGGTTTATGAGTCCCAACTATCCTGATGGCTACCCTGTGAATATTGAGTGTGTGTGGAATATCAGAACCCCACCTGGAAACCAATTACAGTTGACTTTTCCGTAAGTTGTATTTCTGGTAATCTGTCCACAAACTATGTCAGTTAAAAAGTATGTTTACCAAACAAATAATTAGAAATGAAACAAAACTGGCTATTTAAAAAAAGTAAAGTAAAGTAAAGATCCCTTTTCACACCTTTCGGCGCATCGGGCATATAGGCAGAGCGTCCCATATTTTTACAGACCATCAGCACTCTGTGGGTAATGTGGTCAGCATTACGCCGGCTGTCTTTACTTTCCCAGGACAGCCCATCCTGGTACCCATTTTAGGCTGGGTCGACCTGACTGGCTATTTAACCCTACCAAAACTGAGGCCCTGTGCCTTACTGTCCCCTGTAACCTGAGCTCCTGGGCATTAACATGAAAAACCAACATGATGTACACAAATATTAGTTACATGCGAACAAGGGATTACAATAAGATAAAACTTGAAGACATTGTAGAAAATAGGTTTACCTTTCATCTAGTGCCAATATTCCACCTTTGTGTGCCAATACACTTACCAGCACTATTATGTTGCTGTTTGGGGGACACACCCCCTTCTCTTACTATCAATCTAGTTTTAAATCTGTTATTTTCATAATTCTCCTTCTGACTCTAGCTCTCACTGACTGTGTCACTTCAACTAAGAACGTATTCTTCATGAACGTATTCACAGTCTGAATTACCCAAAGTATCGATCACCTGTTGGACTGTGAAAAGCCTAGATCTACGTCACTTTCTTGTCGAAGCCGCTTGTTTCATTTAGAATTTTCTGAATTTTTTTCACATTAAACCACACAGAGAAATCTAAACACTCGTGGGAAGTCATTTGCAATGACTAACCAGGAAGTCTGATAGTGATTAGCTGGTTATTTTTAGTCGTGACGCATATTTTTCACGTTCAATGTAAATTCCAGAAAAATCGGGTCAGCTGTATAGCCTCAGTTTAGGAAATTCCTGAAAAATCAGGTCAACGGTCTGGTAGGGTTAATAGTTAAAGAGTCACTGTGGTGTAGTGGCAGACACTCATCTGTGGATTCATTGGTCGTTGGTTCAAGTACAAATAAATTAACTCTTTGAGTCCCAGGGGGTTTAGCAACACAGGCCCAGGGGGTAGTCAAGAAAGTCATAAATCGGCGCATCATGCGTTCATTGGGCTTCTATGTAGGAACCTATGAACGTATGATGCGTTCCTTGGGCCTCAAAGAGTTAACAAACAGACAAACGATTGAACTTTATTTTCAAAGGGTTACAAATTTGGCCTGTCTTTCATTTGGACCTTCCAACCACTCATCTTTCATACAGCAATTTATTTTATACATCAAGCATATTATGTTCATAAATCAGAATTCATAGTATGAATGTAAAGTTAAAATACGAAAGCATGGATGACACATGCATACCTTAAAATAAAAAACAATGTGCAAAGTTACACACACACACACGCATGCATATAGCATGCACGCATGCATGCATGCACACATGCAAGCACACATACAGAGAGAGAGAGAGATTTTAATTCTCTTAAGAAATGTATTTTCTCAGTCCTTAAGAAAGAATATAGGGCCTTTTGATGCTATTGAAATATTCTCAGAATATCTTGGACAAAGAAAAGGATAAATACTGACATCTTGAAAGATCTGAACATCAAGGAGGATTGGCTAATAAACAGCATCCTGTCTCGGAAGCTGAAATATTTTGGTTCTATCAAGGGCCACAACGGATTGGAAAAAATTATAGTAGAAGGCATGGTACTAGGAAGGAAGGGGACGACTGACATGAAATGGACACAGGGTATAAGTGACTCCTTGAGTATGAAAGCACATGAGGCGAGAGACCAAGTTTCTTTCAGGCAGTCTGTGATGAGAGCGATGTTCTGCAAAGGACCTGCTACATGATGTTGATGATGAATGTATTCTCTAAAAAGGTAAGTAAACGACCCTAACTAAATTTACATATGTTTGTAATTACTGAACTTGTTTTTGACAGAACTTTTTCACTGGACCTATTGGGCGAAGTCAATGATGATTATGTGGAAATACGAAGCCCAAATGTCAGTGGAGCTCTTGTGGGCAGATGGATCAGGAACAATGCTCCCGTCAACTTGACCTCGCTGTCAGGAGCCTGGGTCAAGTTTAGATCTAATGAAGATGTCACAGCTCCAGGTTTTGTTGCCGAGTACAGTACTTGTAAGTATCACAGTCAATTATAACTGCAGCCTTCCGCTGCAGAACCACTCCAGCATTTCTCTCTCTCTCTCTCTCTCTCTCTCTCTCTCTCTCTCTCTCTCTCTCTCTCTCTCTCTCTCTCTCTCTCTCTCTCTCTCTCTCTCTCTCTCTCAGAACATTGCAGAACCACTCCAGCATTTCTCTCTCTCTCTCTCTCACAGGTCATTGCAAATCCACTCCAGTTTCTCTCTCTCTCTCTCTCTCTCTCTCTCTCAGGACATTGCAGAACCACTCCAGCATTTCTCTCTCTCTCTCTCTCTCTCTCTCTCTCTCTCTCTCTCTCTCTCAGGACATTGCAGAACCACTCCAGCATTTCTCTCTCTCTCTCTCTCTCTCTCTCTCTCTCTCTCTCTCTTTCTCTCTCTCTCTCTCAGGACATTGCAGAACTACTCCAGCATTTCTCTCTCTCTCTCTCTCTCTCTCTCTCTCTCAGGACATTGCAGAACCACTCCAGCATTCTCTCTCTCTCTCTCTCTCTCTCTCTCTCTCTCTCTCTCTCTCTCTCTCTCTCTCTCTCTCAGGACATTGCAGAACCACTCCAGCATTTCTCTCTCCATCTTTCTCTTTCTCTCTTTCTCTCTCTCTCTCACAGGTCATTGCAGAACCACTTCAACATTTCTCTCTCTCTCGCTCTCTCTCTCTCTGTCTCTGTGTGTGTGCGTGTGTGCATCAGCGCGCACTGTTTTTAACATTTTACATTTAGTAGTTTGCCCCTGCTTCCTGAAAAGTCATTTTGCCATAGTATTATGAAGGTCAACACAAGGCGGTCTAGTGACAAAACGCCTGCTGCTGGAATCAAACCAAGTATTTAAGAATGAAAAAATGCGTTCGCAATGTCATGGACAGACTATGCACCTGAAACAAAAAGAATATTGATATGTGGTCACAATAACATCATGTGTGAAGAATGTTTTTTTGTTTTTAAACTTTTCTCTTAGCATACGGTGGAAACCTTCATGGTGATTCTGGCCAGATTGCCTCCCCCCAGTACCCAGCATTTTATCCTATGAACAGTGACTACAGGTAAGCCAAAAGTGGTGCATGTTTTGTTGTAAAATGTAATAAGAAGACTTGAATTTACTGCCGACTACAGCAAGAGGCATGGATTTAAATAGAACGTATTCACAGCTGTGAATCCTGGACAAGTAAAAAACAAGCTAAACAATATCTTGAGGCTATGGAGATATGATTTTATAGAAGAATCCTTAGAATTCCTTTGACATCTAAGAAGAGCAACCCAGATGTTTTGAAAGAGGTGAATGCTGGAAGACAACTTATCACAAACATCAGAAAGAGACAGTCATTATTTTTTTGGTCATGTTATGAGAAGAGGGAAAATGGAAGATGATGTGACCACTGGAAAGATCTGTGGAAAGAGAGATAGAGGAAGACAATGTAAGAAGATTCTTGACAGTCTTTTATCATAGCATGGAGGTGTATCAGCACACAAACTGATAGACGCAGTTGCAGATCGCAGATTGTGGAGAGGCATGATCGCCCATGCCTGTCAGCAGGATACTTGATGATGATTATTTACTGCTAGTCCAATTCAGTTTCTGAAAGCAGAGCTTGAGAGTCAGAAACAACAACTGCCATTTTACTTCACAGCTGTGACTAGATCTCCTCTGCACACATGCTCCACAGCTGCATCTAAAGATCTCCCATGTGTATTTACTCCACAGCTATACAGCTATAGATCTCCCTTGCACACTTGCTCCACAGCTATAGATCTCCCTTGCACACTTGCTCCACAGCTGTAGTTCATATGACCCGTTAATTTTTCTTTGATTGTCTGTGTCATGTTACAGATGGACAGTTACGGCCTCCCAAGGCATGAGGATACGTGTGTCATTCAATGTTTTTGCTTTAGAACAACCCAGTCCAGATGGGACTTGCCGCTTTGATTATGTTCAGGTGAGGAAGTGTTTGCTGCTTTGATTATTTTCAGGTGAGGAAGTGTTTGCCACTTTGATTATGTTCAGGTACAAACTAATTGCAGATCTAAGGACCAACATTGGCTTACTCTCCAAAGAAGCAGAACTGGTCTTGCAGTGGATACCAGCCCACTGTGGTATTCAAGGAAATGAGAGAGCAGGGAGTAATCTTCCACAACCTCATCCACCACACAGCTACAAGGAAACCAAAACAGCACTAAAGCAGTCTTTCAAGCGGGAGTGGAGAAAGCAGAATAGAGATTACAGACCAGAGAGTGACAGCATAAACAAACTCAACAGGAAAGAACAAACATCAATTTTTAGACTTCGGACTGGACACTGTGGTCTTCGAGCACACCTGTACAGGATAGGCATAAAAGAATCTGCTGCCTGTGATTGTGGAGCAGAAAGACAGACCCCTGAGCACATACTGCAGTACTGCCCTTACCTCTCCCAGCGAAGACTGTGGATCTGGCCCACGGGATCCACATTGCGAGAGAAGCTATGGGGGACCGGTGGCGACCTTAAACGCACAATCCTATTTTTTACCCAGACGGGATCAATGTGTAGCATGACTGATGTCAAATGCAGAAGAAGAAGAATTATGTTCAGGTGAGGAAGTGTTTGCTGCTTTTATTATGTTCAGGTGAGGAAGTGTTTGCCGCTTTGATTATGATCAGGTGAGGAATTGTTTGAAGCTTTGATTATGTTCAGGTGAAGAAGTATTTGCCGCTTTGATTATGTTCAGGTGAAGAAGTGTTTGCCCCTTTGATTATGTTCAGGTGAGGAAGTGTTTGCCCCTTTGATTATGTTCAGGTGAGGAAGTGTTTGCCGCTTTGATTATGTTCAGGTGAGGAAG